AACAAAATTACATAATGATCAGATACAAAAACAAGTTACATCATGCCCAGTACCTGGTACCAATCACTGCTTCATCTGTGTTACCTACCCAGAGCTACTGACCCTCCCCAGAGCTCATTATGCCCAGTATCATTTCGCTGTATGTCATCTTGTGCCAGCCTGTTTCAGCGTGCTCATAACTTATCCAAAGTATAAGTTGGGCTGCTTTGTTAAAGTGCAGATGATTCTGACTGATGCAGACCTGGTTGATGTGCGGCAGAGCTGGGAGCGGACAGGGGCGGAGCTAGATGGGGGGCCAGGGGTGGCCATGGCCATCCTTAGCAAATCATTGGCCACCCCTAACAATTTTTTCCCTCTAATACAGATGTTGGCAGCAGTAATACTCTCAAATGGAATATTCAAAACATAAAAAAAAAAAAAAAAATGTTGGTTAATTATACACATCAATATACTAACATCAAAGATAAGTACAGAATTCATTCTCATTTCAGAACTAGATTTTGTGTTCTATGGGGTAAAGAGAAAATGATGTGTCTCTGCAAGTCATCTATGAGTCTTCAGTGAAATAATAAAAAAATAACAATTTTAATTAAAACTTATCAAATATTCAATTTATGTAGATATTAGTGCTTGTAAATATCAATTTTATGCAGAAGGTTTATTGATACAAGTGGGTAAGTAAAGACAATGGAAACGATTTACACCCTAAAATTGAAAGAGTTTCATCCACTATACCTTTACCCTAGAAATTACAGATGTTTAGATGTATGCGTCAATTTGTTAGCAAAGGCTGTAGGAAAGTATAGTTTGTCTTTATTTAGAAAATATGGATGTTTTGCTCGTTAATTTTCCTGTTGGAACAGTGTAGATTGACCCTGAGGTTCTGGTGCCTATCCACTTTCGGCCCCCCCTCAGTGTTCATTGGTTATTGCCTGGCCACCCTTATAGAAATGTTCTAGCTACGCCTCTGGGTGCGGAGAAGTAGCGGAGACTGCTTTGCTGCTCGAATCACGTTCAGTGTGACAGGAAACATTTTCCTCCATTTATTGGGGAGCATTTAAATGAAGTGGGGCTCAGGCTGACTGTGGTGAGGCTGCGGTTCTGATCCAGTCCCTCAAATTGAGCGTCGCAGCCGCAGGAACAGTGCCAGAGAGTCCATGTTGGTTCCAGCACTGGGTTATTGCACTAGGTGTCAAATATAGAGAAACAGGTTATTGCACAGGGTAATCTGCAGCTCAGAAGTGAACCATGGATTGACCTGACCTCTCACCCTTAGGAGCAGGTTTCTTAGTACAAGCTGGTGATGATGATGATGATGTGGTCAGTCCAGAGGTCATTGTCCGCCCTCACTGTTCCAGCTTTCAGGGACAGAACCAAGACCAAGGGCCCCAGATAGCCCCAGTCTCTCATTTTAGATCACTCTTTATTGAAATCTGATTCATCTAGATCTGTTTCTCTTTTCTCTCCCTTCAGCCAAGACCTGATCCATGATCTTCATTGGTCCATGAAGGTCTCTACCGATCATCCTTCATCTGGAATCATCTGGGTGATTTCCCATCGCTGCTGAACTTCCCAGGAACCACAGACTCAGGGAGTTCTCTGACCCTAACCCCAGAGTTCTCCAACCCTAACCCCAAAGAGTTCTCCGACCCTAACCCCAAAAAGTTCTCCGACCCTAACCCCAAAGAGTTCTCCGACCCTAACCCCAAAAAGTTCTCCGACCCAAACCCCAAAGAGTTCTCCGACCCTAACCCCAAAGAGTTCTCCGACCCTAACCCCAAAGAGTTCTCCGACCCATACCCCAAAGAGTTCTCCGACCCTAACCCCAAAGAGTTCTCCGACCCTAACCCCAGGACAGTTCTCTGACCCAAACCTAGGAGAGCCCCAACCAGAATTTGGATGACTTCAACTTGAAAGCAGTCCCTAGATGTTTTGTGATCCCCAGAGAGCCCTGATCAGATCCTTCTCTAGTTCAATGATCTAGCAGGTCTAAAGCCAGCCGAGGGACAGAGTAGTACTGTTTGAATCAAAGTACACTATCCTTTTGATCAACCTTTATATTGTTTGTTTGATCAAAGTTCTTGAAGGTTCTAAGAAGCCTCTCAGAAGATGGCCCTGCCATCCTCTCTAAGTTGTTACCGATCAACAGTGTGTGGGTTGACAGACAGGGGAACCAAACCCCTGACCAACGATGAAATATGTGAAATGATTGCAGCCAGGGTGGCAGAGTTTAGGTCATCCAGAGAATATGCTCTGTTCAACAACAGAACCCCAAAGCAAACAGACCCTTTACTCCAATTGGACTCTGGGACATCGCACTCCAGCCTTGTTCCAGACCTCCATACCTCTGTCTCCAGCAAAGACGACGGTTCTAAGCTTACTGTTTCCCCATCAGCCTTTGAAAACAGCCGGAGCACTGAGGCGACGCAGTTTGAGGACAGAGGTGAGCAAGTCAATAAATACATTAAAGGTGTTTTTACTCATTTATTTTGGTCATTGAAGACCTGAAGTTCAACAATCCACTGAACTTTCCTGCAGCCGGTTTTAGGACTTTTAAACTTTTTCTTACATAGGGAGGTTCTATTTTATCACTACAGACCGCCGGAGGGCGGTGCTGAAAGCAGTGAAAGTTCCCTTTGTGCATTTTGAGTAATTATACTAACTCAGTCCCACCTGTGACAACCTAGATGACCACTCAGTGGCAATATATATGCTGACTATGTTCCTTCTTACTACTTTTCTTGTGCGGGTCACCTTGTATGACATAAGCTTTTGAGCTTTTTGGACCATTCTTTGGTCAGTTCCCTGTTGCTGGAAGCCCTGTCTCCCCCTGGCTGGAGCTGAGAAAAGATTGATCTTTGTACAGGATTTACAAGGTAAGTATGCTGTTTGTTGGTGACGGTTGAGTTCGGGCTGTTTCTCGATCTTGAGGCTAATTCTTACCATGTTTCTGACTTTATTGCAGCTTAGTTGTTGTTCTTTTTTTGTTATCCAGACTGTTTAGAAGCAAAAAGGCTTCTACCCAGTCGGGCTGAATTCTTGAGGTTTGGATATGGCTGTTTAGGGCTGCGAGAATAATAATAATCTTAATTATAATAATAATAATCAAAGTTGGTACTTGCAACCTTCTCAGAGCACAAGAGCCCTGCTCTAATCACTAGGCCATCAGTCCCCCGATATGACCTATAATCTATATTTTATAATCCACATATATATATATTAGGGATGGAACGGTTTATTAAAACCGTCTGAACCATTCGGTTTGACTGTCTCGGTTCGGTTCGCGTGTGTTTCGTTCAGTTCATGTGCTGCTCCTTTTTCTCATAGGCGAAGCGTTTACACTCCAGAGCAGAAGGATGCGGTACTGCGACCAAAGCCAACCACCAGTAGTAAACAAGAAGAAGAAGAAGCGAAGCAGCGTAGCCGGGTGTAGCAGAAAAAAATCAGTTGTTGTGGAGAATTGTGTGGGTATGGCGAGTGGGAAAGAACAGAAGTTGGAAGACGCGCCAGCAGCACTTTGTAGGTCTGCTGCATTTAGAGCGACCTA